AGCCTTTGCCAGTCTCCTAGCGATCACAGCTGACCGGGTAACGAGGAACCACAGCCCAGCCCCAGACACTCTGCACACAAGCAGTGTCTTCCCAGGGCCTTTCCCAGCCAGGAGATTCTGGACGTCCCCTGTGGGATAGCAAGTGTCTGCAAGGTATCATTAGGAGGGTAGACCTGAGTCATTACTGTAGTTCTAAGCCCACAGCTGTTCTCTGAAGGTGTCTGAGTAATCTTCATCCCACTCAAACACAATGGAATGTCCCACAGTGCCATCCCACGTGTAGGGACACATAGCGATGCCCTGTGATTCTGCTGGGGCCCTCGGGTGATGCTGGCATCCAAGCACAGGAAAGGAAATACCCATGGTGACTGGGGTTGCTGTAAGACAGTAGGTGGCAGGACACTGGGGGGTTTCCAGTCCCAGACTACAGAAGTAATGGGGTCCGTTGGAGACTCTTGGAGTAGGCTATGTGAAACTTAGTTATTGGGCATTTATTGAACACTTGTGTTCCAAACCTGCAAGGAAATAGATAACGTGCATCTTTGTGCCTGGTAGGCTGACCTCAAGAGTCCAGCCTGCAAATGGTTCAATAGAAGCCTGAGACCATGACACCAAAAGCAAGTGGTGGGCCCAGGTCAGCTTGGGTGGGACAACCCATTCTTGGGGCACTTGACCTATGGAAGAGACCTCTGCGAATTGGGAATGCGCCAGAAGCTCCTAGCAGTTTCTTCCCACCTGCATCAGGAATAGCCAGGCTAGTGCTAACTTTCACTGGCTCACACTAAGAAATTTCAACCCCATGTCCAACTACTAAGGCACAAACATGTCTCAGCTAGGCTGGAGAAATGGCTCAGCAGTTAAGAGCGCTTGCTCTTGCAAAAGACCAGGTTTCAGTTCCCAGCAACTACATCTGTATCGACTCACGGCCATGTGAAACTCCAATCTTAGGAGATCCAATGTGCTCTTTGGGCCTCATAGGTGCTTAGAACACCCATACACATAAAGGCTAAGTCAGGCATGACAACGCACTCTTTTAATCCCAGCACTTGGGAGGCAGATCTCTGTGAGTTCAAAGCCTGGTCTACAGAGTAAGTTCCAGAACAGCCAGAGCTACACAGAGAAATGCTGTCTTAAAACCAAATGAATGAATGAATGAATGCTTTAAAAAAGCATGTCTCAGCTGACTTGGGTTCTTGGCACTGCTGGCTCCTAGAGGCTCGTGCTCTTAGGCAGTGTGGAGACCTTGGATGTGAATGCCAGGTACCTATCGAGCCTCGTGCTAATGTCCGCGCTGCAGGCTTCCGCTTTGACACTCAAGTCAGTTTTAAAGCCCCGCTTCACAGAAGCACGGTTACTGGGGTAACGTAAGTCCTAGTCCTGAGAGCACCTGTTGGGTTGGGATGAGATCAGAGTGTACTTGGGGCAAACCCTGGGGGAGACCACACTGTGCTGCTCAGCTGACCGTGGCTCTAAGATGAGGCCGATTCGTATGCAGGTGGTCCTCCTCTTTGTGTGTGTGTCAGAATCATTTTTTTGTATATGTACTGAAACTCAGTATGTATATAACTGAAACTCAGAATTCAAAATTAACTTTGCCTGTGAATTTCTTATAGACAATCAGAAAACATTTCAGCCAATACTCTATTGTTTTACTAGTCTTTATACAAATTATTTTGTTTGTTGTTTGTTCTGTTTTTTTGAGACAGGATTGTGTGTGTGTGTGTGTGTGTGTGTGTGTAGCGCTGGCTGTCCTGGCTGGAACTTGTTGTATAGACCAGGCTGCCCTGGAATTCATGGAGATCTGCCTGCCTCTGCCTGCCTAGTGCTGGGATCAAAGGTAGTCCTCTATAACCCATCCAGCTGACTGCTCTCCCTTTAAAGACAGCCTCATGTATTCAAGGATAGCCCCTGGCTTGCTTTACTGTAAGGATAACATTGAGTTTCTGATTCTCCTACCTGATCATCCGGCTGCCTCTCAACTGGTGAGTTTACAGCCTCTGCTCTCACTGAGGTATGTAATGTCCTAAGTGGACCAGGCTTTCTACGTGCCAGGCACGCACTCTCACATCTAACCCACAGACCCAGCCTCCACAGGAACCTTATGAGCCAGTCGTCCTCCCATTTCTGCTGCCCACCGTGTCGCTTGTGAAGACACCATCTTCAGGGCTTGCCTTGTGTCTTCTGAGGCATTTGCTTATTCTGTGCACAGCTTTCTTGGGTTGCTTTGGGCTGAATTCCCAGCAGTGATGCTTCCCACTAAGTTCCCTCAGCCTCACCTACCAGCTGGCCTGCTTTTCTGAAAAGATTCCAGTTGAACTGCAACAGAAATTGCCATGCCTCTCCCAGCATCCATTTGGATTTCCGTGGCCTGGTGCTGAGCCTGTGCCTCCACCTAGAAGCCCAACTCCCTTGATTCGGGCAGTGTCCGGGAGGTGCCTGCCTTGAATCCCGTCACCCTCATGCATCTTACCGTGGGGCTTCATGATCTGACCAGACGTGGCCTTGTCCTTTCGGACCAGCTTGTCACATTGTGGTAGCTGAAGGAAAAAACAAGCCGTTGTCTTTGGGTTTGTCTGTCGGCATTTCTAAACTATGGTTCCTCCGTAGAGCATGGATGGATAGCAATTTTTCCACTGAAAATCCCGTAGAATAATAAGAGGTAGCCAAAACCAAAAAATGGCAACTACTATTAGCTATGTAGAGAGTAAAGAAAAAAAAATCACAATAACCAGACCTAGTAGGTGTGCCATGCCTGTAACCCACACCCCATAGGCAGAAGCCAAAGGGTCAAGTTCTAGGCTAGCTGAGCTACACAGAAAAACTTTTAATGAGGAAAGAAAGAAAAAAAAAAACTAACCGGCATAAAAGAAGTTAAAAGCCACAATCAAGAATTACAAGTTGAGCCGGGTGGTGGTGGTGCACGCCTTTAATCCCAGCACTTGGGAGGCAGAGGCAGGCGGATTTCTGAGTTCGAGGCCAGCCTGGTCTACAGAGTGAGTTCCAGGACAGCTAGGGCTACACAGAGGAACCCTGTCTCGAAAAACCAAAAAAAAAAAAAAAAAAAAAAAAGAATTGCAAGTTGAAGCTGGGAGTGCGGTTCAGCGGGTAGCGCTCCTGCCTATCACACAGGAAGGCCCAGGTTAGACCTCCAGCACATCATACAACCAAATGTGGTGGACTAACCTGGCTACATAAGCTCCTGTCTCAAAACAAAAAAAAAAAGAAAAAGAAAAAAAGAAAGAAAAAAGGAAAGTTAAAGCAGTAACAACCACACACGCATTGGGTCAGCTTCCAGTCCTAGGTAAGTATGAATGGCCTCAACCTTGCAAATCTGCTCTGCTAAAACTAAGGTCTATGGAGGATGTGCAGAGCACACATTGTGTGCCCAGGTATAGCAAGAAAAGTAAGTAGCAATGGCAGGTATCTCTCTGAGTTCTAGGCCAGCCTGGTCTACAAATATAATTGTAGGACAGCCAGGACGACACACACAGACACACATAGGGGGTTGAGGGGGATCAAACACACAACACACACACATACAAAGGGTGGGGTGGGGGAAGAACATCAGTATCATTAGTGCAAGGTTCAACCCAATCCAGAATAGCCCTCTAAATTACAAGTGGAAACAAAAACATCTTTGCAGGTGAACATTAGCTTTGCCATTAGTGTAACATAGTTTTCTGCAATGCTAGAAACTAAACCTGGGGCCTTAGACATACTAGGCAATGGTTCTACCTTTGAGCCACACCCCTGCCCCCAAGGCCTCTTCATTCTTCTGTTAACCCCCTCATTATGCTGCGGCAGGGTTCCGGGCTTGTCTTGAAACAAGGCAGGCATGGAATCTTTATGATTTGTCAGAAGTTAAACTATGTCACTGTGAGTTGAAGCAACCTCAAAAGCCAACCAAGGTTCCCCTTTGGATTGGTGAAGAAAAGACCTCTGTTTAGTGATAGCCAGCAGGGTGCCTGTGGATCACTGCCTACTCAGTTACACTGTTTGAAGTCCTTCGATTCTGGGAAATCCTACAAGAAGACAAGATACCTTCCCTATGCCAGGTTCTATTTTTATCAAACTTGGCCTAGGTTTGGTGATCTGGAGAGGATGAGGGGTACAAGCTGTCCAGGAATGGATTGAGCAAAAGATACTGCTTATGTGAGGCTTAGGTTTTAGGATTAAGGAGAAGGTGCCTTAGGTCCTGAGTGAATTGCAAAAGACCACAGCGGGTCGAGGGACAGTTCCCCTCAAGTCCCCCAGACTAATTCTTGGTTGAATACATGATCCAGGTCAGTTTTGAAGGCCTGTAGGTCACACACTTAAGGAGCACCTTGTCCTAGGGGATGAATACATTCGTCCTACCTCGAATACTCCCTAACCTATTTTCTCAGGGACTAAGAAATGAAGTACCAGAGACCAGGAAACAAAGCCTGCAGGAGCGCTAAGGACCTCCTGTTCTGTTATTTATGTGTGTAAGTGTTTTGTCTGCGTGTGTATACATCAAATGTGTGCCAAATGCAGGGGCCAGAAGTGGATGTTGGGAACTGGAGTTAGAGATGGTTGCGAGCTGCCACGCAGGTGCTCACACCCACTGTGCAATCCACCATCTCTCCGTTTTAAATTGTACTTAAATACATGTGTTTGACCTCCTTTGGTCCGTGATCTGCCCGCCTAGACACCTAGCCGGTATTTGGCTATTCTGTGGGTTGGTTTAAGGAGACAAAGTCCAGCTTAGTTCAGACCCGCTCCGCGAGGCCCATCTTGGTGACCTGTTTTATCCACCCACTGTGTACTCCCACTCAGACTAGTTGAAAGACTGGAGCCGGTGAATCTGAGAGGACCTCAAAAGGTGAGCTGCAAGGGAGGGCTACGCCCAGCTTCGCCCAGGCCACGCCCATACCGCCACCCTCCTACTTAGCCAAAAGGGCGGCACCCGACTCCAGCCTCGCCCCCCAACGTCATGACCAAGGCCAAGGGGCGGGCTCTACTCTCCGCGGAAGAGCGAGGATAGACCCAGGCCCAAGCGGAGCTCTCTGGGGTAGCTGGCGACTATCAGGTAGCACCGCCGCCCACGGGGATGGTCTGTGGGAGAGGGGCTCCGGTTGCAAGAGGTTCAGCTGGTGGGAGCGCTCCTGTTGATACGAGGACGCTCAACTAGCGGGGCTGAAGGTCTCCTGGGGAGGGGAGGCTATAGATACTGTGGTCACTGAGCTGCCAGCGTCCACGTCTCCGGGCTGAAGGGGACCATAGATTCCGAGACTTGCTAAGCTGTCAAGGTCCCTATTTCCAGGTTGGAGGGAGCCCTGGGGTTGCTGGGTGCGGGGTTGGTCGACAGTCGCACAGCTGAGATGACATGGTCTCTAGTTTGACACCTAGTCCCGCGCTCGATCAGGATGGGCAGTAGCTCGCTGTCAGAGGACTATCGCCTGTGCCTGGAGCGCGAGCTGCGGCATGGCCGCGCGGGGGTATGCGGCGACCCCTCGCTGCGCGCGGTGCTCTGGCAGATTCTGGTGGAGGACTTCGACCTGCACGGGGCGCTACAGGACGATGCGCTGGCGCTGTTCACTGACGGCCTGTGGGGCCGAGCTGACCTGGCACCAGCCCTCCGCGATCTGGCCCGCGCCTTCGAGCTCCTAGAGCTGGCCGCTGTGCACCTGTACCTGCTGCCCTGGAGGAAGGAGTTCACCACTATCAAGGTATGGTGTTACTGATGTGCCTTCACTCCCTTCCTTGTCCAGGCTGTTGGGGGCTTCAGGCCCTCTCCAGGGGAGGGTTCTGCGCTGAGGGGTCGTGGGCGGGTTGGGATGCATGCCTACGAGAGTCATTCACTTAGAACTTATATGGCTGTCCTCAAAGTAGTCTCACTGCCCTAGTTGCCATGGAAATTCTAGGGTAGACGTGGGTGGGTGAGGGAGGTACTTGATGTCCTATGGTCATCCTAACTCCTCTAGGATGTGGACTGGTGCCATCTGTAAAAGGAGACTGCTAAGACTGGGAAGAGAACTGCAGATCAGGAACAGCAGGGATCTTGTTCCTGCTTGGGTCCAGGTTAGGTGGCCAGGTCCAGGGCTGGCCTAGTCCTTAGGTCAGATGGCAGACCACCTAGAGGGAGCAGGGCCGCTCTGAGCTAATTTTGAGTGGGAAGGCAATGACGTCAGAAAGCACGTGGGCGAGGTAAACCTCCACTGGTTGTCATGGCAGCGTCTCCCCCTCCACACCCCACCAGCCTGCTGCTCCACGGGGGATACCTGAGATCCCAGGACTTTCATTCATTCTGACAAGCTAGAGGCCCACCCATCAGCCTCAGAGGACAAAGGCAGCCAGGCCAGGCCTGGCCTTGACTTTGAATACTTCAGGAATAGTGCTGGGGTGGGGCTGGCAAGGACAGAGCCTCCTAGCTGTGTGGTTTTAGGGGAAAGCCCCTTTTCTCAAGGTGCAAAGCCCTAAGGGGAGTATTCTCGCCAGTGCTCCTTGTGCGGAGATGTCCTCTTCCTAAGGGTGCTAATCAGAGGAGTGCTCCAAGGATGCCCAGAGCTGTTGATGGTCACATTTAGAAAGACCCACGCTAAAAGCCTGATGCTTTGTTTGGTTCCATGGGTAGCTTTGATCTAGAAAGCTCATTAGACTTTCTGGAATACTACAGAGTCCTGGGAGGAAACAAGATCAAAGAGCAGGACAGAATGTAAGCGGCTGCCTGGCAGTGAGGTACAGTGGAATATTCCTGTAGGCTGAGGCAGGAGGATGGAGAGTTTAGGGTCAAGCTGGGCTATACAATGAGGACCTTTTCTCAAAAAAAAAAAAAAAGACCTAAAGGGCTAGGGTTCAGGGACGCCATGCTTACTTAGCTTGTCCCTTGGAGGAAGCAATGTCTGACAGCCACACTCACTCCAGACAGATGAAAACTGTGTCAGGGGCGAACAAGCTTCACAGGTGCATCAAGGCAGGACTGTCCTCACATAGGCTGCACCCAGGAACCTTGGGAAGAGCACACCTGACCAGGCCCTTCCTTACAGACCTTCTCAGGGGGCTATGTGCACGTGCTGAAGGGCGTGCTCTCCGAGGAGCTCCTGACGAGAAGCTTCCAGAAGATGGGCTACGTGCGCAGGGACAACCACCGCCTTATGGTGACCACCCCACCCCCCGCCTGCCAGCTGGTCCAGGTGGCCCTAGGCTGCTTTGCCCTTCGGTTGGAGTGTGAGATCCTAGGAGAGGTGTTGACTCAGCTGGGTACGAGCGTGCTACCAGCTGAGGAGCTGCTCCGAGCTCGGAGGGCTAGTGGGGATGTAGCCTCCTGTGTAGCCTGGCTGCAGCAGCGGCTGGCCCAAGATGAGGAGCCACCACCCCTACCCCCTCGGGGCACACCTGCCGCTTATGGGGCCCCGGTGGACCTGTATCAGGACCTGCAGGAGGACGAGAGCTCAGAGGCCAGTCTGTATGGTGAGCCTTCCCCGGGGCTGGACTCACCTCCTGGGGGATTGGCTTATAGACCACCACTCTGGGAGCAGAGTGCCAAACTGTGGGGTTCTGGGGGCCAGCCCTGGGAATCCCCGGCTGATGACATGCACCGGGCCAGTAGCCCACCGTACGGGGCTCTGGAAGAGGAGCTGGAGCCAGAACCCTCTGCTTTCTCCTTCCTCTCTCTGCGCCGTGAGCTGAGTCGCTCAGGGGACTTGGCTCCCCCTGAGTCCCCTTCAAGCCCCGGGCAAGCCAGCCCCCGACACAGGCAGGCAGAAGGAGCAGCATCCTCGGCCTATGGGCCTGCGGTTGAGCCCCTGAGCTACCAGGCCCACAGCTGCTTGAGCCCTGGCAACCTACCCACTCTCTGCTGTGACACTTGCCGCCAGCTACACGCTACCCACTGCACTGCCCTATCTGCCTGTCGCCCAACTCATTCACTGCGCATACTTCTTGGTGACAACCAGAGACGCCTGTGGCTGCAACGAGCACAGGTGGATACCCTGCTCTATGACAGTCCTGGGGCCCGTCCCTAGGCCCAGATGGACCCCATGGGGGACAGTTTCCATGGTGCTTCTTTTGGAAAAGGGCCTAGGCCACTGGCTGCCCTGGCCCTCCTATTCCCCAGGGGAGTCCAGGACCTGCAGTTCAAAGAGAGTAGAGCCTTCATGGAACGCTCGCCTGGTGCCGTATCAGGCCTCCTCACTGACATGCCCATCTCAGCCCTGGTGCAGCAGGCCGAGCTCAGTCAACAAGATCCTTCCCTCTCATCCCTAGCCTCAGGCCCAGATGTGCTGAGTAGAGAAGTCCAGGTTACCCGTGTTACAGTACCCAAACTCAGAAAGACCACACCCTATGAACTGCCTGAAGCTCCCACCTGATCCCTGGAATCTGTGACTGAGGCTATGGCCCTCTCTCCATGTGCTGAGAAACCCTCACCCAGGAGCCTGCTCAAGAGCTTTCAGGTGACACAGTAAGATCCTGGAGTCAGCACTGGGCCATGTGGGAGGGTCTGAAGGAGCAGAGCTCACTTAGCTGTGAGCACCCCAGCTCACCTGTGCTGTCAGCAAGGAGGCATGGAGCTGCAAAAGCAGTGGGAGGCACACTCCCAGGCAGTGGGGGAGCTGTCACCCCTTCTCAGCAGGAATGATTCTCAGCAATCAGCTGCCTACCAGCCAAAGAGGAGAGCATGTACAAGCCACTTCACCGGCTATTGCCGAAAAGCAGCTCACCGCCCCATGCAGCTCACTCCAGGCAGTTAACCAGGAACAAGTTATACCCTCCTCTCCCATCGGGGTAACCCAGGACCCCTCATTAGGGGCCCTAACCCACTAATCCTCAGGCTAGGGATAGTGAAGGGCTGGGTTTTCATCAACCACTCGGAGGCCCAGGCACAGTGATGACCACTCGCCAACACTTTCTCTAGTGACACCCCTCAGCTGAGCCTGTTCCTGCTCCTCATGCAGGCCCTCAGAGGACGCTGTCCATGTTGCATGGATCGAAACTCCACAGTACATTAAAGGACTGCCAAACTCTGTACTAGAGAGGCTTTTTATCTCTCCACCCTGGAAAAGCAGTCCGTCAGTTCTCTCCCTGCTCACCAGTGCCAGCCACATCCACCAAGGGCTTTCATTCTCGGTCTTAAAGTATCCTACTCCAACTAACTCTTGCTCCCTCCTTCCCACCTGAAGCCCAATCAGCCCTGCCCAGGGTCACTAGAGCCCATCTGTCCCAGGCAAGCAAGAACAGTTGTGATCTCCTGGGCCTGCTCATTCCAGGCGAGTGCCCAGCTCCAGTTCCAACACACACTGAATGGGACCTTCAGGCCTCTCAGCACTAGCTCTGTCCCCCAGAAGTGGGGCTTCACTGACAGACAAGATAGGCCAGCACATGGTGCTACAACAGCCCATTCTATCCTGGGTATCCCACTCAGCAGCATCCCTGTCCACCATCCCCTCTGCATCTGGACACAGAGGAAGTACCAGGGAGGAGTCAGATGAAGAGGACGGCCAACTGGAGGGGCCAAAGGCCTGGAGGCCTCCCAGTCACTGGCTGATGATCCATGAGGATGTGGAAGGGTGGGTTGCACCCACTCTCAGGGCCGGCATCGTTTGCTCTGGCCCTCAGTGGCAGCTGAGGCAGCACGCTTATTGCGGTGGTGGGGGAAGGTAGGCATGAGCTCCGGTTCGCAGGCTGCAGGAGAAGGGCAGCGTCAGGGCTGGCCTGGAGAAGAGGCTCCCAGGGGGCATCCTCCAGCTCTCCATAGGACTCCTCACTGATGCTGGCTCTGACCCATCTGCTCCCTTCCTTCTCCCCTGTGGAGCCTGCCCTGGAAACCCAGCCAATATGGACAATGAGGGCTTCTCCTCAAGCCTGAGAACCTGAGGAGATCCGGAGAACTTACGCAGCGGCTTCTCCTTGAAGTAGGAACTCTCCAGGCAGTCTCCTGCTGTTGCCCTGGAGAATGACAGTGACCTCTGGCCTTAGAGAGGCCTACTTCACTCAAAACATAGCCAAGTTCAACAGCCCCATTCAATTTCCAGCAAATGGGAACTGGAGACCTAGACACTGTCAGGCAGCGCAGAATGGCTCTAAGACCTAAGGCCACTCAAACTGGACATCTGGCACCTATGGGTGTCTGTGTATGTCTGGGAAATGGACATCTATGGTCTGTGCTGTGAGAAACCATCTTTAAAAGGTTTGTTGAATTGAGATGGCTCAGTGCTAGACTGCTTGCCTAGCATGTACAAGGAAGGTCTTAGCTTCCATTCCCAACACCACAAAAGTAAATTAAAGATTTGGGTTTAAGGTGTCCTTCCATCTTTGCAGAAGCAAGGGCCCTATCCTCCTGAGGGAAAGGGCCCATAGCGCTGCCTAAAGGCGAGGTCTGTACCTTTTCTTAGGGTCATACATGAAGAGGAAATTGAGCAGACGAAGTCCAGCCTCTGAGAGCCACGGGAACTTGTGCTTGAGGTTGTTATAGGGCTGCTTCCTCAAGCTGTACTGGCCGGCCAGCGGCAGCTTGGAGAAACCCTGTAAGAGGCAGGGGCTGGAGTGACAGAGCCACCAGGCATGAATGGGGACTGAGGGCTGTCTGCAACACCCACCGGCCAGATATTCTCACTCGGTGTCCCCAACAGCTGGACAATCAGGTCGATCTGGTGGATCTCAGAAGTGCCAGGGAGAAGGGGCTTATGGGCCAGCAGCTCTGCCAGGATGCAGCCAACAGCCCTGTAGAAGCAGCCGGTCTCTGCTTAGCACCATAGCAACAACATGCCCATGAAGGAGTAGGAGTAAGGCTCTCCCCCCAAGTCTGCAGTGCCTCGTGAGAACCTGAGGCCTGAGCCAGTGAGCACCCCAGCCATGTTCTCACGTTCCCCATCCTTGGGTGCCAAGGTCAGGCTCATCACCACCACACCCATCTTGTTCTCCTGACCAGGGCTGACCTCCAGGGCCAGATGACTTGAGGCCCTAGGAGCAGAAACCACTCCTACCACATGTCAATGCTGGTAGTCTGGGTGGTAGTTCCAAGCAGCAGCTCTGGGGCTCGGTACCTGCAGACAAAGGCCCCATTTTACCTCATATCAGCTTTTCTCCTTCAGCCTGAGCTCCCTCAGAGTGCCCAGTGGTCCTTGGACTGCCCTCTACCCTAAGCCTGAGAGAGGCACCATGTCTATCTCGTAAGAACCAACAGATCCAAGCCCACACATGCCGTCATTGGCTTGCTTTCAGATGACAGTCAAAGAACACACGGCTGAGGCCACATAAGGATCCTGGTGAGGATGGGAGAGACACCAATGTCCTGCCTACCCTTGGGCACAGCCTCATTCTGCCTTCAAAACAACCACAGAAGGCTAGGCAGTAGTGGCGCACACCTTTAGTCCCAGCACTTGGGAGACAGAGGCTACAGAGTGAGCTCAGAGCAAGCTACACAGAAATTCTGTCTGGAAACCCCCATACTACTACTCCTCTCCCAACTTTATCCCCTCCTCCCCCCAAAAAAGCTTGCAGAAAGCTACCGTCCCTTCCTGAGGCAGAGCCAGGCTGCTTATGGCTCTTTTAGTGTGCATGTACGATGGCATGTCTTTCAAGACAGGCTTCTCATGCAGCCCTCTGGCTGTCCTGGTCTCAACTCAGAGATCTGCCTACCTCTGCCTCCCGGGTGCTGGGATTAAAGGCAGCACCGCTGCACAGGATGACGGTTCATCTGAACAGAGCAGAGGTCTTGAGGTCACTGAGCCTAGCTCTGTCCCAAGCAGTTGGCCTAGACCCAGGCAGCAGCAGCATGTGCATGCCCACACAGCTCCGAGACTCTCAAGGCCCCTCTTAAGTATCTGCCTCAGCGTAAAGGATGCCATGGAAGACAGAAATCCCCACGGGCCGCCACGACTCTAAGGAACTCACCAGAGGGTAACAACCTTGGGAGTCATTGGCTTTACTGGAACTCCATAGGCCCGAGCCAGGCCGAAGTCGGCTGCAGCAGAGGGCAAGAGAAGAGATTATCATATCACTCAGTGAGGACAAACGAGCAGCTCTCTGGAAAGGGAACTGGACTAAGGTGGCCTGGGGCTAGGAAGACAGACAGGTCACCTCTGGTTCCGAGTCACACTGACATCCCCACTGTCACAGACGCAGGGTCAGCACCCGGCACCCACCTGTCTTTACGCAGCCCTTGTCTGTCATGAGCAAGTTGGACACCTTCAGGTCCCTGGGTCACAAAGAAAACAACGGTGAGTTCCCAAAGGACAACCAGGCTGTCACCACAGCCTGACACACTTTCCTGGCATTTAACTGGGGCTTTCTAAAATCAAGAAGGTGCACAGAGGCCAGGTCGCCTTCACCCATGTCTTGCTCCAGCAGCCCCAGCACAAAGGTCAAACAAGTGGGCCCCACGCCTCACAGGCGTCTCTAGAGACAGCAGCTCCTGGCCTAAGACTCTAGGTAGGCGCTCTCTACTGAAGGCTTCTGGCTGCTGCCTTCCCATCCACCCACCTTCTCCTTCTCAGAGAAGTGAAGGCTGATTAGACTTGTTTGATCTAAGAGCCTTGCCTGGGAACAGTTAGAGATTTCTACTGGTGTCTGCTCCTCTCTTGACTATATTTGGAATGAGACACTGTGGGACACCACGGCTGTTCCTGACCCATTCCCTTCCACCCCTCAGACATCCCCACACACCTTCCTCCTGGCTGCCCCGCCCACCTGTGGATGATGAAATTTCTGTGCAGGTACTGAAGGCCACGGAGCACCTGTAGCATGATACATTTGACCTATGAGGAGGCACAGGTTGGAGAGCTTTGATACACTGCCCGGAGGTCACCAGCAGCCTCCAGAGTGTGGCTGTTGCTATGTCCTGCACAACTAAGACCGTACCGCAGCAGACTTATTTACTGTATGTACATGAACATGTATGTGGTGCATGTTTGCCTGCACAGTGTCTGTGTGGGTATGCGTGCATTAGTCTATAGATAAAGAAGTTGACATCAAGTGTCTTCGTCATCTGCTTTCTGTGTTATACATGGTGGTAGCATCTTTCATTTGATCCCAGGGCTGACCAAATTTAGTTGCTCTACCTAGCCAGCCGGCCTAGAACTTATCCTGGGATTCCAGGCAGGCTACCATACCCTCCTAACATGTGTATGGGTGTCAGGATCCAAACTCCCCTCCCACACTTGCATGCACACATGCACTCTCCCTCTGAGCCATTTCTCCAGTCCCCTTCTCCTTTCCAGTGGCCTGTCACATGGACTGAGAAGACCTGGGGCCGACAGGATCCATTTCTGGCTGTCACATTCAACACAGCTCTCCACCAACCAGGGAGCACCTATGGAGCACCTTCCCCTCACACCTGGGCCTCTGAGAAGGGTGTTGGCATATTTTCCAGTAGGCTGGCCAGATCTTGTTCACAGTAACCCATGACCAGGAAGATGCTAGACAGAAAAAAGAGAGAACATGTGACATCTTCTGTTTTCTCCCTAGTATGTAATGAGGTCTGTGCCCGTGGTGGGAAGGTTAGCCCTGGGACAAGGACCCTTTTGTGTGGGAGAGTGGTGGGAAGGTTAGCCCTGGGACAAGGACCCTTTTGTGTGGGAGACTCAGGAAACCACACACCTCTCCAGGTGGTTGCCCACAACCACTTCCTTCAGCTCCACAATGTTCGGATGGCGGAGCCGCAGGAGCAGCGTGATCTCACGCAGGCTGCTGATGGGAATGCCTGTAACCACAAGTGCTCAGTGAGCTCCACCCGGACACCATACATCCTGCCCTCCCTTCAGGGACAATTACGGTGACACCAACACCACTCTTGCATTCATTATGGATACAAGGCCAGTGGGCGAGGCTACTGGCGGATGTGGAGGGTGACAGTGACCTCCCCAGAGGACAGGGGCAAAAGGGTTTGGAGAGAATATACAATTTTACAGCTGGCGAAGGTGAGGGAGGTCTGGAAGGGCCCAGAGAGCTCAGGTTCCGGCTGCGGTGACAGGCTAGGCCAGCCCCTAACTACCATGCACATGGCCTCCGCAGAGCTCAGTCCTGAGAAACCTCAGGTGACTTGTGCGTTTATCCTCCTCCCTGCTTGGATGGCCCAGGCAGGCAGGGCGGTCCTGCATCCTGATCCCAGCTCACCATCTTTCTCTTTGTCCATCCGCACCTTCTTCAGGGCAACAATCTCATCTGTCTGGGTATCCCGGGCCCGATCTGAAACAGGAGCACAACCTCAAACTGTCACAGCCCCACCTGGCCATGTGGGAGCCTCTTTTGAGAGTTTACTGAAATGTTTTTTCTTCTCTGACGACGTAATGTCCAACAAAACTCGGTCCTTCCTCCATCCCCAGGATGTGAGCTTGGGAGTTCCCATTTGAGCTGGGTTGGGAGTTTCCAGTTTTGCTCTTGAGCTGAAACCTGGCCATCAGCAACTCATGTGGAGAGAAGCTCTCCCACGCAGCCTATTGCTCTGAGTTCACCTGTGCAATATTCCAATACCAGTGAAGGTAGTCTATCTAGAGGGGAAAGATTTATTTCATAATGGCTTACAAAGCATTTTGTTGGCTTGTGCAACTTCCAAATACTTGGCCAAAGCCTCACAGCTATGGAGCTGCAGAGAGCTCTTGGAAGTACTCTATTTTACTGGTCGGTTATCTCCACAGCTACACATCTGCATTGCTGACATCAGCGACCTGATGCTTATGCTTAAGTATCACACCGGGGGTTAATGTTTCGGAGCAAGCTCTGGCCAGGTTTGGGGTTCGGAGCACAAGCCTTCCAGGCCCGACAGAGCTTCGTCTTGACCACTCACACACAATGCCATAGGTACCCTCGCCGATCCGGTTCAGCTTCTCAAACTCCTTAACGCTTCGGCATCTTCCCAGCTGAAAGAGAGACGCAGCCCGTGTGGGGATCTGGAAGCTAACAGCACCAGTGATAAGTCTCACCCTTACCTAGCACTGAGAAATCTGCTTGCATCTTGCTTACTAAACAGAAGGGCAACCACGTATCTTCTGATGAGCAAAGGGGACGGATACCACTGGAATCACTTTGAAATACTGAAACATGGCCGGGCAGTGGTGGCGCACGCCTTTAATCCCAGCACTCGGGAGGCAGAGGCAGGCGGATTTCTGAGTTCGAGGCCAGCCTGGTCTACAGAGTGAGTTCCAGGACAGCCAGGGCTATACAGAGAAACCCTGTCTCAAAAAAAACAGAAAAAAAAAAAATACTGAAGCATATTGAAGATGGCCTAAGCACTCCCTCCAACCCCGAGTTCCAGATGTCTGCTGCTGTCTAGTAACAAATGGCGGCAAGCCAAGGACACGAACACCTCTGTGCAGGAGAATCCAGCCTCCAACACAGAGTCACAACGTTTCATGTGTGAGGAAACCTATCCAAGGGTAATCATTTGTGAGATGTGAGAAGGGTGAGAAGGGGCTTCTAGACAGACGGAAGCTAGCTGATCTTCGTCCTTTTGCAGGCTCAGATGAGGATGAGGGTCAGGTGAGGCAACGAGACAGAACAATTAGCCCACTTATGGGCAACAGCTGCCTCTAGGATTTTAGGAGTCAGAGAAATAGCTTGCGTGAGCACAGTATTCTGGGGTCTTATTGGGAAGTCTGTAACCTAATACATCTTCATGGTGCAGTGCCTTTATAGGTGGATTGACTAAGCATTTCTTGGATATAGAAGGACTTCAGCAGCCGGGCAGTGGTGGCGCACGCCCTTAGTCCCAGCACTTGGGAGGCAGAGGCAGGCGGATTTCTGAGTTTGAGGCCAGCCTGGTCTACAGAGTGAGTTCCAAGACAGCCAGAGATACACAGAGAAACCTTGTCTAAAAAAAAAAAAAAAAAAAGACTCAGCAAGGTCCCTTCTCTTAATAAAGAGAACAAACGTCAACTCTTCTACAAAGTTCTTATAGAATATACTCCTTTTCTCCAAACTCTCCACTATTTTGTATCTTTGCAGTTTTGAGTCCAGGTCTCACTCTGTAGCCAGGCTCCCTTCCAACCTGGAGTGACCATCCTGCCTCAACCCCTTGACTGGGATTAGAAGTGCGGACCTCCACGCAGGACTCTGACTTTTTTTTTTTTTTTTCTCGAGACAGGGTTTCTCTGTGTAGCTCTGGCTGTCCTGGAACTCACTCTGTAGACCAGGCTAGCCTTGAACTCTCGAACTCAGAAATTCGCCTGCCTCTGCCTCCCAAGTGCTGGGATTAAAGGCGTGCGCCACCACCGCCCGGCAACTCTGACATTTTTGACTTAGGGAACCAACCACTGCACACGTGCGTTTTTCTCCCCCTTTGAGAATAGATTTCGCTACCTCAGCTTCCAGCGCAGTGCTCTGGGGGAGCACTTAGTTAACAAGAAGTTAAAACGTTCGTGGGCTGCTGCAAAACCCCCTTCCCATCAACCGTCTGCTGGAGCAGAAATCGGCGCCCCCGAGGCTCCCCTTCCGCATCACACAAAAGGGACGATACAGGAATGTGGGTAACACAGGGTGAGAGG